GAATAACACTAATGTCTTTCAGTGGGGATTACTGGGCATCTTTCATTGAATACTCTCAATTTAAGATTAAAAATTGCGGTAGTTTTAAGTATATAATAAACTAGCTTTTAGTCATTCAGACAGGCTCTCAAACACACAATTCACGCAAAAAGCAAATAATTTTGCTTCCGCAGTATAACTTTTAGGGGCGTCGCCMGGGAGATGAAGGTTTTTCTTTGTCCATTTAGACTTTGATTGGAATTGTACCATTCCGTGGCAATCTAGTGCTCTTTACTTGACGTGAAAAAAGTTGCTTTGGCAAATATTATGAAACAAAAGACAATAACGCGTTTATTGTGATGAATTTGTAATTCACTAATCCCAGATTCACATAAAGCACATTTTCTGACAGAAAAAGCGATGGAAGGATTTAAAATTTACCACAATCTAAAAACATTAATATAAATGTAATGAAATGGAACCTTTATTTTACCACAGACACGAGTAAATGACGATCGATATAAAAAAATAATCGATCAATTAACTCCTGTAATAGACTATGACAAACCACAATTATTTTAACGCTTGAAAATTCAAACTGAAGCGAAGTGTGTTTTCATTCCGTGTAAGGTAAAGAGTATAATCACCTTTAGCTGTTTAGTCAGCTCTAGTAAAACGTGTCTTAAGCACTGAAAAGCTCAATATCTCGTAGAATATTAATAACATGGACGGAAATTGAAGGAATTAAGAAAGAAACAAAGCTTTCAAACAATTTGAGTTATCAGTTTTGAATTATACCTGACACAGGACTTTACGGCGCTCAAAAACCTCGAGGCTGGAAAGCGCTAGAGATGATTCACTTAAATTTGACAGAAATAACTCGGAAATCTAACTCAGATAGGAAGAAGTGTCGGTAATGACGAAAAAGCAACAGAAGTGACTAAAGATAAAGATATATACATGGTCCAATATCAACCAATCACATTGCTGCATTATCATAGAATACCATATRTGGTCTTGTGCTGTACTATCAGTCAAAAGTTACTACAAGAGGGYAATGCTTCCGTGAGTTTTTTTTTTCAAGGAAATGAGTTGAAAAATTCAAAATTATATATTTGAAGTACACTTAGAGCMGTCCTGTTGGTTTCCATGGTAATTAAGGGCATTATGTTACCAAGGAAACCACAGCAACCATCTGCTCAAAGAACCATCTTGTACTAWTGTTACYTCAGAAAAACAGGAAAGAAAAGAACAGAACCAATACTTTGTAAACTGCGAATCATTTGGTTAAACATGAGACAAAACAGAACCATTTTCATCTCAGTTTCATGACCACAAWCACCTCGCGAAGCTTGCGAAACTGAAAACGCTGGAAGTCGAAATGGAAATGCGATTTAACTGTTTTTTATCTGCCAGCTAAATCTACTGAAATAGGATTCTTCATGGGGAATTTCCAATGGAAATCAAGAAATCTAAGGCTTAGTGTAAAATGAAAAACAACGCATTTCCATTCTGACTGCCAGCATTATATATCATAATTGTTCAATAGTAATCTCGCCTGGTTTAATAGGATTGCATTTCTTTGCATTTAATTCAAACTTTAATAATTCAGCTGTATTCGATTAGAAATGCTAATTGTAAGCAGACTTGTATTTACAGAGCTGTTGATTGTATCAGAACCAGTCCTGAGAGAAACCACATATGTAAAAGTTCATAGTGAGAAAAAAAAAACATTCGCTGGATAGATGATATAAAATATTGATTTATACTTATTCAACTTCCTTTGGTATACCTTTAGCTGTTATTGRCAAACAAACCAAAATAAATAGAAAAGAACTTAGATCATCACGTACATGTACTTCAACCTAAAGCTCGTCGGTTAAAGAGAAATCCATTTTACAAAGAAGATTGAAAAGCATTAATGATTAGAAAAGAACCTGCTAGCGCGCTCTTGCCGAAAACCAACTGTCAGTGAACAGAAAAAAGAGAACTAAAGTCTGATTTACACGGTACGATTTGTCGCGCGCGACTTGTAGTATACGATTTTCCTACTACAAGTCGTAGGATTTTAAGCAGTGGTTCAAAATCATATCTACAAGTCGTAGGCTGCGTACGACTGTTGTAGACAAGTCGTAGGGGCATTTACACTGCGCGATTCAAGTCGTATACTACAAATCGCACGAGACAATCGTGCYGTGTAAATCAGCCTTAAGAAACACACACACAAAAAAATAAAAACGGCAAATAACAACTGAACCACAACAAAATACTCAAAACCGGCTTGCTAACACATTAAGTACCAAGGGTTTTTTACTTAATGTTGAGYAGTGATAAGTGACTTAGTTATCTCAGTGTACAACCTTTTGATGGAAATCCATAGATCTAGTGGCTTGCCGACACTAATGGGAGTTCAGCCAAGATATTGTGATAATTCAAAGTCACATTTATCAGTAACCCTTGCAGGTAAATCGAAAAAACATGTTAAGATATCATAATTAAAACTCCTAAAATATCCGACTTGAAATCAAACAATGATGYAATGRAAGTGCGCATGTTTGGATGACCAGTGAATGCAATTAACGTTAACTGAAATCGTTAACAGTTTACTAATGTGTTTAAACATAAATGAAATTAGTACATACACTACAAAAACCGCAGACAAGCACGCGATTCAGAAATTATTCAAAAAAACTGCCTGAACTTACAGTCACAAGTACCTGCAGAAAACGAGTTTCTCGGCCTAATTCAATRTAAATAATATGCTAAAATATCCTATAGGTTCAGGAGAAGCGATTGTTTGCTCATAATCAAAAAAGATCAGAGCTTAGGAAAAACCCTTGACATGGAGACATTATTTTAGTGACAAATCCATTCAGGTGGATTGTAGTGTACCGGACTCCCTTTGCCCTAATACAACAGCTGGTGTCCAGGCTACTATTAATTACAGACTGGTCAAGATTACTTTAGTAGGTAAAGTATTGTCCATTGAAGAGTGTTCAATTTCAAGAAAAGAAAACACAGGTAGCCCAAAAGTAACGCATTCAATCAAAAACGCGATACGAAATTTTGCTATCATATGAGCCTACGACAAGAAAATATTAATAGTAAAGAAATAATAAATAAATGAAATGAAAAAGACTATCGCCGCCATGTTGGATAAATGAACAAGAAGAACTAATAAGGAATGCCTTGTTATCTTCACATCCAACATGGCTGCTATGGTGAATAGGAAACACAGGTAGCCCAGTAGGTAGCACTAGTGAATATGAAACACAGGTATCCCAATGCTATATAGAAAACTAACACTAATCGTGTAGACATGTTTTGACAAAGAAACTCTTATTGATATACTCGAGATTTAATTTAGTTGTAACTTAGTCAAGTAGAATATGATAGTTTACCTTGTGTGTCATGATCGAGTCTTAAAATCATCAAACGCCGCCATTAATACGTTTCCTTGCTCCAGTATAAAATGTATATAATCATTGACTATACCGTGGATATTCTTCGTTGGTAGACATTTGAARTCATCAAGAAGCAGCATGTGCAATGTTTGATCAATATTGATCTCGTTTCGAGTCCACAAGTCTTCAATTGTTGTACTGTAACACTCGATGTATTCATTCATTTTATAAGCCATTCGTTCCTGCATGACCTTAAACAGCATCTTAGGTCGATTAACAGGAGTTTTTTACACCAGTTTATCGTGTTATTTATCGAAATACTAGTGATGGTTGGATCATAAACTCATCGTCACAGCRAACATCTATGGTAACGGTAACTATGCAACGAATAACTCAACCAATAACAATAGATTACACGTGTGAAAACCATCACATTCCATTGAGGAATTTGTAAATTAGTATTTGTCAGGAACTGATAGTGAATGACTTTCCCCCCCCCCCTCCCCCCCACATCCCCGGGCTGAGCTCTGATTGGCTCTCTGCTCCCTAAGGATTTTGGTGACGTCATATATTAGCATAGAACTTCACCGAATAGACTACCCCAATTAGATATTAGATATCTATAAGTGTCTTCATAGTACGATGGTCTAAGAGGGTAGCTAAAGGTATGCTCTAGTGGGCGGCTACCCCCTCACTCCCTGGCCTTTTGGTTAAGACTAAGTTTTATGTTCACTCGGGATAGCGTGGAAGGGCCGAAATCTCTAACCGTAACGTAAGCCGATTCGCCGCCTCAGCTTCATAGAATGTCTCGGGGGAATCGTCCCAGATTTTTATTTTCATTATTTCTTATGTATGCCAGGGGGGGTTACATCTTCTGCTGAAGTTAAAGTCCTGAGTTCGAGCCCTGATGCTGGAAACACTCTTTTTTGCTTGTTTATTATCTCTTCTTTTTTTTCTTCTTCGTTCTTTTTTTCAATTTTTCTTTGCTGTTGTTACAGTTGTTTGCTTTTCTCTAGAGATTTTCTTTTCCTCTTTTTTTAGAGAATTTCTTTYTTCAGCTTAAAAATATCAAGGGCTCGCAAGGAACGCCTGCTACAAGTGGATGGTTTCGCACAACCGCCGCTGACATAGCCTGCGATTCACACAGGAARCCCAARGACTTTCAAAAACCAATTTAAAGATGGCTGCTCGASAAAAGTCATAAAGCAAGATCCAAAGATGATGGAAAAAGCGCGAAAAAAAGTTTGAACCCTCGAGGTGAAAACATTCTTATTTATTGAGTATAACCGCTTTCTAGATACACGATGCGTTAGATTTATCTATTCCTGATAACGTACTCATCCGGGTAATGAACGGAAAAAAATGCGTATTAATGGGATTATGTTTATGGATATCATCTTAATACTGGGCTTACTACTTTTTGGCACTTTAGAGCGAGGGACAACTAGCGTAAGACAAGAGAATGTCAACTGATTTGCCGCAAATAACGCAAAATATTCATTAGTTATAACTAAYAGTTCGTAAATAATTTGTATTCTTATGGAAGTCCTATCGATAGTCGGATCACCTTAAAGTACAATTGATCAATTTATGCCTCAATTGTACTAGATATGTTGAACATTGYCATGTATTATGAGGATAACATAACAACATTTAGCCTTTTGAAGTATTGTCAAGAAAGACCACCTTCTGCTAGTGGCGATAAGTCGCTTGATTGGGCAGGTTAAGTAAGAAATAAAGATCTTTAGCGAGAACCGCCATTTTCTTGGACTCCGCGCTCTTTAACGGATCTTTTCGCGTTTTCTTATTGCGGTTCTTAATGCACTTGAGGACACAGGACGTAAAACAATGCAGATGCATACGCAAATTTTAAAACGGAATTTCACTGAAGATGTAAATCGTTGCGGTTTGAAATGATTATAAAATCAAAAAGATAATAAAAGCCGCACCTAACTGTGAAATCCYATCAGTGTAATCTAACTAAAATCATATAACATGTTTATTCGAATGGATGTTGCTGCTTATAATTACAAAGAAACGTTTTCGTGCCTTTTGAGTCTATTGAAATCAATGTCAACAGTAAACCCAAATAGTATACGGAATAAATGTCGATTATTCGAAATACATTTATCCTAGTGGATAATACAAATCTGGAATGATAGAAAACAATGTTTTTCGGCGATGGCAGGTCTTATAATCGAATTACCGAGCTCGTGATAACGTTATCTCTAGCGAGATTWCCCCGGTGAAAATGCGTCACACTTGTTCTCATTGCATCAAATCGAGGTTCTTAAGTAGATTTACACTGAGTCTTGACCTGCAGGACCTACATATGAATCACCCTGCAACCACAGGACATTTTTGCCTAGCGGTGATTTTTTATGTTTTTAAGTTCTTTTTTATCCTTTACAACATTCAGATATTTCAGCGAGTTTTTGTGCATGCCACATGTTAGATGGGTACAGCATTCAAACCATTTATACTACAACACGAACTACCACTTATGAAAAGCCGCTCGGAYACATACAGCGACGTAAAATGAAATATTATATATAGCTTATTGTCGTCAGGTGGTTGATGTTTGGACGTCAATAATTTCACTTTAAGTAGATTTAGAAAAATTTCATAAATGGAAAAGAGGATTTTAACAGTGAAAGCGAACTCTGGTTWAGAAAGATAAAACGCGGTTTGCCGCTATATTTGTTAATCGCGGTGAATGTTTAGAGCATTTTGTTTCCTGTTCTTATTGATGTTTCCCTATCTCAGTGAATATGCTCAAAAATCTATCATGACAACTTAAAATWAAGTTAATAATACTGCTCTTTCTATCAGTAAGAATATATATTTTTTGTCTAGTTATGGCAAGACTTTGATTGCAGTCAACCAGTCAAACGTCCAGACTGCCGCGATGGGTTTGTGGTAGAATAAACCAACCCACCTGTCTGGAATGGTGCATGATGGTGAAGGCGTTTAAGGTCTGAAAAACGACAATAAAATCTTTGAATCTTTGATTTCTTGAATCCAGCAATGAAATATTTTGTGATTTCCAGAACGTTGTTTGAAGAAAAATCCGCGAGATAAAAAGGACGCGATATCGGCTGCACAACAGTTTAAATGGCTGATGACAGAGTCAATATTTTGAAAAGTCTCGATGAGTCCAAAATCCGGCAAAAACAGTAAAATCAATAAATTACAAGCTACCTAGAAACAAAKACTACCGCCTTGTTTTTTGTTTCCTCAAAAACTGTGGGTTTCTCTCATGAGTGCGCAATTACAACCGTCACTGACTAAACACTTCAAGAGCGCTGCACCCATGACTTGACATTTTTTTCTTTGAGTATCTTTTACAATCTAAGAATTTTATGTTTTTTCTCAGTCGGCAGTCACCACCCTTGAGATTTTTTGCAATAAATCGTGAGAAAAGATCTCTAGTTGTAAGTGATAGCCAGATGATAGCCTGCAGTGGTGCGCTGTATGGAAGCTCTGGATATAATTTTTTTTCTTTTTTAGATGATCGTAAATGTTTATAGTTAGTTATAAGAAAGAAATATAGTATATTTAGAAAACATAGTGTTATATTTTCAGTACAGGTCAATTATACGACGTTTTCAGTGTTTGGGTCAAATTATTATTGTAATAAATCTCATGTTGTGAAATATTTTTGTTTAGATAATTAGTGATTTACTGCGCAAAGCAAACTAATCCATAASTGCTGAATTACTGTCATATATTACTCCTCAGATATACCTTATTTAAGAGTCTACTTAAGTTAATTAAGTACAATATTAMATTGTAGGTACTTGGATGGTGCCAGTTATTGTCATTTCATAGCTGTAATGTTGTCAATATTGGTGCAGAWTCACCTCTGTCTTTTTATGGTAAGGATACCAAATACGAATCTAAGCTAAACTTATAATTAATATAACGTTATTTTACCTTATTATCAGTCGTACAGTAASCGTGACGAGCCTGAAAGTCTTTTAACTTGTCTTATGGCAGTAAAAGCGTTGAGCTCAAGAACACTTGAGAGGAGACAAGACTGGAATGTGRCACAACCTCGTGCGCTTGTATTTTATCTTTGCTATAATCTTGACAATCAGTGTGATGGTGACTTCATTTACGACAATAGAGAAACAAAACACCACACCCTTAACCCAAAACATACATTAACCAATGATAATTACAAAACCCAGGTATGCACGATGCTGGGYATCAAGGTTTGTGATTGGTAAATGTTGGTTGTGCGTGCTGGGCTGGATAACACACTTCATCAAAAACCGTCAAAGATTACGATGATAATAATGCCTATGTGTAGTGTATATCATGATATATGTAATTCATACAGTCTGATTTCTAGAGGCAATGTCTCTATTCGGATCGGAGTACGTTTTGTCATTCATCTTACCACCACTAGCATGATATGTTGTCTTATCCATTGACTTCATTATTCCGAGATACACAGACGGCTCGGTCYGTTGATTTAAGAGAGCTCTAAAGAAACAACTTTCACAAATATATTATTGTATGTTTCAGRGAAGCGGYGAAGSAAAAGTTGAAATTCTTTGTTATGGAAATTAAAATTGCTATTGTCCTCAAAACCTATTTCAACATGATTCCTTTATCCCCAAAYCAAGATACATAAAACACAGATTTTCCGTTAGGCATGCGTGGAWTGYCGTGTGCTGCAAAMCAATCGCGTGACATTGAATAATCATGTCACGATAGATTCCAACAATTTTAGAGCGCGCGGAGATTGCTGGGAATGTTGAATAGATCCGCCMTTTTGATAGCACTTATCAATGTATAACATAGTACTATATGCCAACAACTATTTCGATTAATGTCAATGATTAAAAATTGGAAATGGCAAATTGTCTGAAGAACCTGAAGACCCGAGGGCTGATTATGGCTTTCAAGTTAATTGGACGTTTTTCTGTGATACTTCAGGCTGAATTGTTAAATCACTCAATTGTTATTGTTAATTATGAAGCGCGGAAATGGACTTAATAGTAAAGTTTGCCATTTTCGAAAGTATCACAATTCCTGCTGGTCTCAAATCTTCAACGTGGGAGTTTSAATTCAATAGCCTGCCTTGTCGACGAAAACACCACAGGAACAAACTGTTCATCTGATATTAGTACTTAACATTATCAAAGAATGTTAATAATTCATTATTGACTACATGGATTTCATATGCAATRCGTGATTACTGCTTTCATAATGATTACCCATTTCAAAATAAAACACTTATCACAACATTAATATTCTGAGAGTTAAATTGCGTACAATTTGACCAGTAAACAGCCCTCTTCTCAGATAAAGCGTGCCATTTACAAAGACTAGAGTTCACCTTTGATCRTGTAATGATAAATAATAGTCGGAACAGAGCCACGAAATCATTGTAACCCTATGCTCTTCTCACTTTAAGGCAAGGCATCTCAAAACGGTTTTCAAAGTGATACTGAGAACGGTAAAAGAGACTAGACAAGTTTGAATAAAGACAAGTTTCGTTGAAATCTTCTCCGCCTACTGGGTGGACCTGCAGGTCGAKTGTTAAGAGATTGAAAAAGATGGATACAAACTGTCCACAAAACACGAAATTTTGTAACGCTATCATTAAAAGGGAAAAAAATACTTGCATACTTGTTAAGGGAATTAAGCTTCGTCTTTTTTCGTGCCGATCCACTTTATTTCATACTTTATTTCATTAAAAATTGTTATGATCAGGTTTGTCCTTCCTTCAAAAACATCTTAAATCATCCTAAATTATTCATAAAAGTATAATGAAAAGATTGATAACAAACGCGACACTAAAAGAAAGATCAAGATATWTTATCAGATCCGGCGTCTCTAACTAAATGGAAAAGTGAATAAAGAATAACTCAGAACCTCCAAGTTATAAGGTCTAGATGGATAGTACATCGACGAACGTGAATGAATTTACGATACTTTTCGCGAATTAAGGTGAGTATTGGCACATATAGTGATTGTTCCGTTGCTAGGACACACGTGTTATCTTCCTCGAGGCGATAGAAAATAATCGACTATAACTAAGAAGCCTTTTCCATGAATCCTCACGAATGAAGTGTAGTGCAGAGCTCAGTCGGGCAAACGTGCGCATTATGTCCGGTGCTATCGCATTGTGTCCGGTGCTATTACAGAAATATAATATTCACGATAAACCGGCATTATTAACGAGCTTCTACCTATGTTAAAAAATAGAAATACATCGTATTATAAAGCAACCACTTCCTCTTTATTATCTTTGAATGGAGCCTGCTAGATTCATTCTTAAATCGACTGATGGAAATCGTCAGCGAATACTTGAACAGTTACCTTAAAAACTCTAAAACACGACCGCATGGAATGCCGGTTAATCATGTTCCTTTAAGTAAAATACAAATAGTCCATAATTTAGTATACCATTCAAGGAATTGACTATTGCAGGTACTATATTGTCTAGTCCTATTGGCAAGTTATCAAGCTTTTGTCGATTTCACGAGAGTTGTCACATTGTTCATTTTTGTATCAATTATTCMAAAACATGTTGGCGAATTTGTAAGGTTTTTCTCATTGACAARTGAAAAGCATGTTCTTAGAATAYTCCTGTCTAATTTGTTGYTGGTAACTAATGACAACAATAAGCACAAAAGCTGACAGAATCGAATAGAACTACAGACATTTTACTTAAAAATTTCAATTCAATTAGCAATACAGCCGAAAGAGGAATGATGCCCAAATCGACACTATATACGTCTAAGAAATTAATAGGAAAATATTCACAATTCAATGATTATAGCAATTTATTATTAATGAAAATTTTTATTATAAGTTTTGATCATCAAACCCATGTGCGTTTTCTTTGAAATCAATCGTTTTGTTTAAGATAGATATTTATTGATTTATTTACTTCACTCCGTTGCTTACGAGATGCGTCATACATTTACACTGCACAAAGTTGTTGCCARGCAACGTTTGTGATAATATAGATGAGTATTAACATCGAAGACTAAATGTCAGCTGGAACTCTTTTAAAGATTAAATGTTTACAGCGGTGTTAAGTAAAGTGAAACCTTCTAAGTAAGTATAGATTTATTACAAGTGGGTTCTCTGTTTCAAACATTCACTCGTTTAACTCGGAGAACTGCTAGCACATTAGGTGAGTACGTGACAGGGTACTCGATAAGTGCTCGCCAACATAACATTTCAAGATAAAAGCACAGGAGATTAATTCAATTGACTCAATAACAGAAGACTCAGAGCTATAGGTAAGTGTTTCATATCATGGGAAATGTGCTGCAAATTCTTTGAGGGTAAAAAAAATATGAATATAAATATAAAAAAACATAAACCGATGTTTAATTCAGGGGAGGAAACTAAAATTACGGAAAAGAAAAGATAAAACTACAAGAATATAGGCGGGAAAAAGATACGGGAAACGAATATACTAACAAAAATAGAATTGGTATTGAATATACAGGGGAAAACTAGGTAAATAAATGAAGAACAAAAAGCAAAAATTAATTTAGCAATGAAAGAAAAAAAATAAGATGACAGAAAGAAAAGTAAAATGAATAAAGAGACAAACAAAATGACAACTAGCAACTGAAAAGAATAACAATTGGAGTAGTGAAATGAAAATTGAGAACTTTCTTAGCGTGAGGGAAAGAAACAAAGAAGAGAATGATTAAAGAAAAAAAAGAAATGCAAATAATGACATAAAAAGCTTGCAGGAAAAATAAGCGCGATAGACTAGAGGCTAATGTAAACAATTCCTTGGAGAGAATCGTGCTAATGATATGACAAGTTTACTTAACAATGACAAGCGATGATGCGACACATCAACTAAGGAAATCCTAAGTCTGATATCATTCTATTTCCTACRCTAGCCGTATACAAACGTTCCATGTCCGATTTCCTGAATTTAGGGGGCAAACCTTTCAATAAATTTGATTTATTTGCGCTAAAAGACYTCGATATAGCGTGATATCTCAAGATCACGAGCAAACCGCATTTCCGTGAGTTAAAAACACMCACTTGTGTTGAGAGATGACAACTTAAAGTGATACGAGGCTTAAGCTGTATATGTAGTACACGACGTATCGACATAAGGCAACGATCCTTGAATTCAATTATCAGGATTTTGAAATAACAGGGTTGAGATTATTATTCATGAATTACAGCTGTACATCTATGAAAGACTGACGCAYGAACAAATACTCATGCATATATGAGATACTGCACAAAACATCCTACTTGCGTATAAACATGAAAAAACAAAATGATAACCCTGGAACTGAACTGCTCAAAAATGTCAAAAATKKACATTTTCTTGCTTTTATTTCTATCCTTATTTTYAATGATGGCTGAAAACGCTCCTCACGTTCGATGAACAGCAAAAACAAAAGCACTTTCCACAACAGAATCGATACTTCGATATTGGACKGTTTCACTTTCTAATAAATGTCGATCAAAAAGAACGTATAAACTAAGATGGAAAATGATGGCTTGAAATCCTAGTTTAACTGATTTCATCTCGGTACATTGAGTAATTTTCTTTTCTTCATTGGAATGATATTTAAAGTGAAATTTCATTACGATTTTAAACCATTTGCACGGCGGCGTCACAGTKCTTTTGCCACTTTCCTTTGTAGTGTAATTAGYCCCATTGCATTTATGATGAACACAAATAACACTTAACGTGATTAATAGGTACTGAATATCGAACCAGAATCTATTTCCAACTTCCTTTCACGTATACCGTACATCAMAAATGAATAATAACATGTTCCTATGCAAATAACTTTGACTCGCAGCTATCATAAATCCAAGATAGCGTAGCATCCCCAACGCTGCCACCACACACGTCGCGACGGAWACCGCTGACTGAAGGCTCTATGTACTCTAATGACTATTGGGCGAACTTGCGAAGGAAAATGTTTTTTTTAATTTCGTATATTGCTATTCAAAAAGTGTGGTAGTTTTTACATTGATTATGGAAACCAACTGCGTCGTCYATGGATGATGTTGCTATCGTAAAATTCCCAGATAAGAAAAGAACATACTTAACTAGGAAATTATACTATGCAATGGAAAGACTTGCTCTAGATCTCGTAAAGAACTTAAAAAGTCACTAGKGAAAAGTTCAAATGCTGCCAGATGTTGAGAAAAAAACACTCAAACAATTTGATGGCCCTTAAGCATGACTGTAGCACGTGTTTTAGTATTATATCCCCTCTCTTATCACTATTTACAACCACTTTATACAAAACACGTATCCCATGACATTCAYTTATACGCCCTACAGTACGTAGGTGTGAGTWGTATTCCTCCCCTTTATCAGACCACAGTWACTTCGAATTCGTCAAACAGTCGTATCTTAATGACATTAATTTACACGGTCCTTTTCAATTTTATGTTGTGCTATTACTTATGTATAACAGGCATGCATATGAGTAGTATACCTCCCACTTATTATACCCATTGTTGTTGACACACGCATTTCAATGTCATGTATCTGCAAGCCCTTTTAAATGTGTTTTTATGCTGTTAATTATAACAGGTATGCGTGTGAGTAGTATACCTCCCACTTATTAGACCCATTGTTGTTGACACACGCATGTCATTTATCTGTAAGCCCTTCTAAATGTTTTTTTATGCTGTTAATTATAACAGGTATGCGTGTGAGTAGTATACCTCCCACTTATTAGACCCATTGTTGTTGACACACGCATGTCATTTATCTGTAAGCCCTTTTAAATGTTTTTATGTTTTTATGCTGTAAATTAGAACACGTATAGTATATGTGACGTCACAGTGCTAGTGTGACCAAAACAAGATCTCGAATTAAGAATAGCGATCGTCGTAGTTAATACGTCGTAAATTGATTTCATCACAAGTATCTCATTGACATTCATTACACGAGACTTCATAGTTTGTTTTGATGTTGTGTGTTTTTTTGGCTTCTTAAACTCTCAGAGACAATGATCATAATACAGTTACAACAATGTCTATGCTTATGACGATCTGTGACAGGATGGAATTTAGCCATTGGCGCGAATTAACAGAGTAATCTTGACTATGAATAATTGATTGGATTTATTTATTTAAAAAACAGYACTAGGATTTAGCAAGACGAAGTAAAATCGTGCAGCACTACAGTTACGCTTATAGGGAGACTGTGGACTTGGAATAACTGTAAGTATATATTCTCCCCAAGCATAAAATCAATGCTACTTAATGAATATTGGGGATTGGGTTTCTCATCAACTTGTCAATAAGATTTTTGTAACTGATAATTTTTTAGTTATTTTTGTTCAATTCAGGAAGAACGTTGCTTTAATATAAGTCCTATTACAGTCAATTGTCGCTATTACGGACATCCTCGGGACCGTAATCTAGTGTCCGCAGTAACGAGAGTTACTTTCAGTCATTTCTTTGTATTTTTCGGCYGGGGATTCAGTATTTTACTGTTTGCAATATCGAGGTTTCCGTTGTAGCGGGGTGTGYGTAAGGCGAGAGTTAATTGCAGTKGTTMTTAGTATACCCTGAAGCCGATTAACTTTTCATTGTCTACCAAACGAACCCCCTCGTTTCTGTATGTTATTAGTATTTTTAAGCTTTTTTATACAAAAAGAAATAAYATAAAATGGACACAAAACGATCATGATTGTTTGGGCTTTTCCGATATATTTACATACATTTTTAATATTCAATTTTATAGAATAACTTCCCTATAGGGAAGGGACTTGGTCAGGGTATGTAACGAAAATTTTTTTATCCAAACAGCTTGATGATTGTAAGCAAAAATACTGAGGTCGCTTTAGCTGTTATTATTGTTTATATCACTTTTTTATTGTTTATGTGAAATTTGTTTAACACGGCTAAGATAACAAGAGTAGAGTGCTACATAAATGTATTTGGAAATATTGATAAAAATCACCTTTGTGCTGGCTTACTGCGATTCATCACTAAAAATCAGTCCGTTGGTCTACRGAGAGAAGTAATATAAAGTAAACTTTGAACTTTCCTTCAAAGTGACTGCGCCGTTTTTTTATTTTTTTATTAAAATTAAGGAAAGTCTTAAAATTCGGGACAGCCATGTTTTTCGCTTTACATGAATAAATTAGAATTCCCTCAACAGAATGCGTATTTGGAAACCAAGGAGACACAGTTATGTTGAAGCCCGTAAGCCATAGTGACTATCTTACTTCTCTCAATAAAAAAGTGTGTATTTATAGATGTACTTAACGGCCGCAATATCCCTAAAGGCTTTCGYCATCTTTTCTTTGTCATGAAGAAGATAAGAAAACTAGATTTTTGAGTGTGTTGATCATCTTTCAAAATTACTATTCTATTTCAGCTATTTGTTTGTGAGAGCAGACTTAGACACCACGCATAACGCTAATCACAGTGTGTTAGAATTTATAACAAACATGTAATGCTTCTGAGTTCCTTCTTAGTTCAATTACGTCCTTCAGGGTATAATTCCGCCGCAGCAAATGATATCCAAAGTAATTCCGGTGTATTGAAAAACATSTGAAATACTTACTGCATTAAACTACAAGTGAAAAAAATAAAAACATGAATCAAACAACACCGGTCATTTTGAAATAGAAGAAATTGTGATGTGTAATGTATATGTTTATTTCTTCATTATTCAGTGTAGAAGTATTGTTATAAAAGTTCMTGTACAAATCGCCTTACACTGTAGATTGTAATCAAGTATTCTGAAGGACTGTAATCCACTGACTTCGTTAAGTTCCATTGAATGACAATCTAATTTATTTCTTTGTCTTTAATTTCAGGTCTTAAATAACAAGGAAGMCTTTCCTACTTTAAGTTAACACATTCTACTTTCCTTAAATGGTTTTCTGATTGTCATTCAAGTTGATTGATCAATCGAAATGTCAGCAAACCACTTCAATATACRATTCAACGACCGGTCCAATAAGCTGACGGATATGTCATAAATTTGCACAAATCCACATATGAGTACGTTGACCTATATCGTTGGAGGCAGGTGTATTCGATGTAAACGCTGATCGTGCGAGCTCTCCATCTCAGCGACTGCTAAAAAGACTTTGGTTTAAAAAAAAATCAAAACATGGACAACTCAACACTGGACAAGGAAGATATTACGCCTATTAAAGTACTACGGCTGGTTTTGTACGGATTTATATTTCTTATTGGTTTAGTAGGAAACGTATTAGTGATGATAGTAGTTCGAGCAAGAGGAAAACGAAGGATTTTTCATGATTATTTTCTACTGAATCTTGCCATAGCTGATTTGCTGTATATTTTGTGCCTTCCTGCGGATATTTACATCGAAATGGCCCATTTTCCATTCACTGAAGTGTACTGTAAGTTAATATATCCTCTTACAACGTTTGCATTCTCGTTAAGTATACTAACACTAACTTCAATGGCAGTGGGGAGGTGYTATGTTATGCAGGGAAATGCTAGAACTCCTATTAAAGACCGTACYGCATATCTATGGATTGCCATATTATGGTTTTCATCTTTGATCTGYGTTCTTCCTTTATCAATAACGGCTCAGTCTGCACCTGATGCCTGTCTAGAGGACTGGCCGAGCTCAGACTACCGCCGTGCTTATACTGTAGCTTTATTAGTACTGCAATACATCGCACCTTTAACTATCATTGGTATAGCCTACGTTTATATAGGATTCCTGCTTATTCACAAGAAACAGCCAAGRCTGGAGCACAATATGACAACTAACAGACTGATGCTCAATATTCGACAGCGCAATGTTCAAATTATTCGTACTCTAGCTGTCATTGTGATATTATTTGCGCTTTTAATGCTACCCCACGAAATAGCATGGATGATGATCGATTTTGGGAAAAGTGAACAAAAGAAGCTCGGTTTTATTTTRATAAAATACTCTCCAATTCTGACATATTTGCACAGTTGCTCCAATCCACTTGTCTATGGGTTGATGATTTCACAGTTCAGACGTGATGCTAAGAAGTGCTTGTGTTGTGTTGGTCTGGAGGAGATACCCGATGACCAGGGMTCACAGACCGGTAGGGARCTCACTCCTTCAGGAAAAATTGACAGCAACGAAAATATTCGAGAGCAGAAATCTGACTCTGTAAGAAAGAAAATGTCACAAAAATCTTTAATAACTAAAGTAACTCGAGGAAAGARAGAATGTAAGACAGAAATTATTAAACGGGATAATAGTGGAAAACATGACGATGATAACATGATATAATGAAATACAAAAAGCAAAACTAGTCTAGCTTAATGAAAAGAAAATACAGCAAGCAATAGATAGAAGATTAACATAGCTGTAAACCGATTTGAACCAGGAAATTAAACCGCTGTTCTTTACAATTGGTAATGTTCTTTATAAGATAGAGAAAAAATCCCAAAAGATTTWATCGTARTGCTTTCTGTATGCTTTTAGTATTTGCTAAATCTGTTTTTTGGTTTCATGCGGGTTTATTCAATAACCGCTGCCGTATCCTGCTCTTGTTTACTAAACATTTATGAATAGAGTGATACTCGCTTCGTAATTATTWTTTTTTCTTTTTCWAATAATCGGCCAGTTATTTGAATGGAAGRATTTCAATAGCTGTAAATTGGATTCAGTTTCATATTGGCTCAAAGTTGACATTTCAAATATCCATTACATTAAACTATTCGTGGCAGATTCACTCTATGTTTATAGATTATAATTACATTACAGTAAATGGTAACTTTGTTTACTCGTTTCGAACGATTGAATATTCTATTTGATTCGATATAGCAAAAGAACACATGATCAAAATCGAACGGATGGAAATTTTACAGAAAATCTAGACGTCGTGACATTTATTCAACCTGTAGTTGACTTGAGATTATTTTTTAGATTGAAAACGCTAATTGCAGTCAGATCGTGGATCGCTGGAAGCATTGTGACTATCTGTAGGAGGCAAATTGATAACGTGAAAAGTGTACACACAAAAAATAAAATATAAAAAGAATAAAAAAACATCCTAAGGAATAGCAAAAACAAAGAAACATATATTGATACTAATTTGCGGAGTTTCTTGTATGGAATTCCATTTTCTACACTTTGTTTTGTTTTTGCGTTGTTTGTTTACAGTGTTGTTTTGKTTTTTGTTTTGTTTTGTTTTTTGTTTTGTCTTGTTTGTMTTTTTCGCTTTTGTTTATACATTTTTTYTTYTTCTTYTTCTTGATGTTTGTGGTAATCAGAACTAATTGGTTTCTTCTCGTTTTTTGTCTTGAGAATATCTTAATCATATTTGAAAATTCCCAGAGAGATAGATAAACCATCAGCTAGGATTACGAATACCTGTTGTGGATCAAGTAATCACTTTGCTTGCTATTGGAATCCCTAGTGAAACGAATATTGGACGCCACTAAGGACGAGCTGTCGTACAACAATGGCAAAGAACGCTGTTAATAAAAGCGACAGCCCAGCGATACACCTCAAATACAACACATTAATGACACASAGACACGAATASCGGGAATGCTTTTCACAATAATAAATCCCTATTTCGACTACATGGATGACAGCGATAATTTTTGCTGAAACGTGAGAAAAATGTAACTTTACCTCATCACTATGCAGGAAATGCTTGGACGACTAGTCAGGGGGGTGCAGTCTGGGAGGAGGGGGGGTTGGACAAACAGCTGGTTTTCTGTTTATGAAAAAGAGTGAGTGATGGTTTGGATCTTCAGATCTTAAAAAAACCKTTCTTGACCTGATATTGATCATACATCAAAATATATGATATTCTATATTAGGCAAAACATATTGGATTCGTCAACCATTACATCTGATGACTAAAATAAACTTAGCGTGTGGTGTAGAAAAGTGTAATGAGATTTGGAAACTAAAAAAAATAGGATTAAATTCAGACAAGTTGGTAATATAGCCCTAGAGAAATCCTTTATTACATCCGTCTCGACAGAAGATATTGTCAATATTAATCGACGTCTATAGTAGTCCAGCTTGACGGATCGATATTTTACCATGTAATAATGTTTTTTTTTATTACTTAAACAAACCATCAACAAGTCCACCTGACTCTCATCGATAATTCCCTGGGTTTCATTCCATTCCGTCGAAATACAGAGTGTAAGAAAACAAATGAAATATAGAAATGAAACTGGAGTCTCCACGTTGGTGGTATGGACAGAGTATAGAAAATAAATAAAATAAATAAATGAAACTGCTGCCTCATTGGTGCTATAGACAAGTGGAATAAAACGATGAGAAATATTGTCCGTCAACCATCAATATGGCCGCCGTGACGTCATCGATAATTCCCTGGSTTTCGGCAACCATTCGGTCGAGATAAAGAGTGCAAGAAAACAAATGAAATAAATAAATGAAACTGTCGCCACGTTGGTGGTACAGACAAGTGTAATAAAACAATTAGAAATTATGTCCGTGAACCATCAATATGGCCGCCGTGACGTCATCGATAATTCCCTGGGTCTCAATCATTCCGTCGAGATACAGAGAGTAAAAAACAAATGAAATAAATAAATGAAACTGCCTCCACGTTGGTGCTATAGACAAGTGTGGCCGCCGTGACGTCATCGATAATTCCCTGGGTCTCAATCATTCCGTCGAGATACAGAGAGTAAAAAACAAATGAAATAAATAAATGAAACTGCCTCCACGTTGGTGCTATAGACAAGTGAAATAAAACAATGAGAAATAATTTCCATATAGCCGCCGTGACAATAATCTGTATCCACTGCGCATGTCTTTGATGTAATCATTACCCACAGTTATTATCGATCTTTTAATTAATGTTTTCGATCCGCAACATTTCTTAAAATTGCTGTACACCACGAAGATTGRACGATAGTCTGAAGCACTGTTCTCCTCAGGATGCTAAAACTCAATCAWCTTCGACTAGAATCTTGATGATATACTTCCCTTAAAGTAGCTATCTTAAGCTTCAAAATCGCTGGCGCAGACATTTTCACATTCTTCTTTGTTCTCAGTGCGTAATCAGTTCAGTCGGCATATTGAAATATCGACTGATACTTTCAAACAACAACAATAAATTTCAAAAAGCGAGACTTCGAGACTTTCAAAGCCACTAAGAACGAGACTGTAAGACGCAGCTGTAAGACACTGAGACGCACTTTTATATTGGATTTAGAAGACTGCAATACTTGACCACGAAATGAAATTGAGAAATAGACCATATAAAAAAAGACCGGAATCTATCAGTCCTTTAAGCATTACAGAAACAACTATGTGTACAATGTTTGTCGAAGTAACATGTACATTATGATCATCAGTCTCATCAGTGTGGATGTAGTTCTGAGAAGAACTGTTTGATGTGACTGACGTGAACAATATTCCGCCGCATTTTTGATCTTATTCGTAAATACCTTTTTTAAATTCTAGAGCATGTGTCGTGATTTCTAAGTGGGATATAGATTTTCTTTGAAGTAGCTATACCAYAATGCAATGGGCTGATCCGAGAGCAAAAATGGTTGATTCATATACAACACAGTTCTGTGGAGTCCGTATTTTTCGAAATGTCACTTTGCCACTCCTTTCTTTAACAAGGAATTCCATACTTCCGTCGAAGTTGAAGTTGTRGAATCATCAATAACCAAAAAGTGACAATCAATTTTTGTATATAACACCTTATTTAGGTCACTAGTTGAACAACTGCAAACAAAGTGATTTTAGTAATAAAATACACCACGTGCTAAATACTGATACGAGTATATCTTTTACAGTTGAAAAATTTAATTTTAAAGTATTTCACGACAAGATAATGACTGTTGCTAGATAAGTATCAAAACTAATGTCTAAATTTGTGAAGCGGGAATTGTATATGTACACAGTACAGACACCTTGATCAAATAAACCCCAGCATTTTGAGCTTTGTCCTGTCATGAGTCCGTCATRTGCTGCACCTGCCAGATATTTACCCTTGCTTCTCCTGTGTGGAAGGAAAATCTGGTAACAATACAATAACTTCTCTTCTTAGAACGCCATACCAAGAACGCCATACMAAGAATCTGGTAAGTAGAACGGTTTGACTGCTTTCAAAATATTGGTCTCATAACTCTACGTTTTTGAAGTGAACAGAGCTCATTTTCAGCCTCGTTTCCTGCATGTGATTAAATTCAAGTTCACTTCTACTTCAATCTTCATTTCAAAATGCAGCGTTCATTAGCAATTCTATGATCTTTTCTAAAAGATTCCTCATTTTTTCTCTCTTATTTCAGCTTTTATACATTTATATATCATTTGCATTGTTGCTCCAGAAAGTTTTATGATTTTAAAATCTTTTAAATAGTAGCCATGTTCATGATATTTTTATTTCAAATTAATCTAATCAGTAAATATTTCGTACTTAACAATTAGAAGGGGGAAGAAATGAAGAAAAACGATTTTAAAACTAAACGGACCCTACAGTCAAGATATTCTAAGTCGTGCAGGTTTTATGGTGTGACCGTTTGATATACCTTTACTAGACGCTTAATACCTGGACAGGTATCCACTGAAACGAACAATAAGGATTTGGAAATAATTGCTMTAATTTTCTCTATTACAGAACGACTGTTGTTATCGAGAACGCAAACTTTACYATCAGATATTTCCTTTTGTTAAGTGGATGCGTTTTTAGAGATGTCCAACAAGACAGCCCCATTGAGCGACCTGCCTTTAATGTTGATGAACCAGATTCAGCTTGGCTTCGATGTGTTTGCCCTGGTATTTGGAGGACTGGGGAATACACTGGTATTAATTGTTATAATCAACAAAAAACAAAGAAATTACCATGACATCTTTGTAGCAAACCTTGCTGTGGCTGATATCATGTTTATACTGCTAACCTTTCCTGGTGATGTGTTCAAAGTCATCCAAAAAGCTCCACGATCTTTGATCTACTGTCAGACCATCAGGCCTTTGACTACAATGTTCTTTTGTCTGGGGCTGTTTACTATTACATTAATGGCGCTCTATCGATGTTATGTCATGGTTAATCCCTATAAAACCAAGATGAAGTCAGTATTCCTGTATTTGAGTGTGCTTGCATTATGGGTATTGTCCTTCGTCACTGCTCTGCCTGCCATTATCGTGGCTACCATTTCACCAAGAACTGGATTCTGCACTGGAAGGTGGAAGTCTCCATTATATAAAGACGCYTATATYATTTTTCTTTTGTTGATTAAATGTGTGGTTCCTTTGTTCTTGATCGCCCTTGCTTACATACGTCTTGGAGTATTTCTTCTTCATCACAAGCCAGCAGTAACCAACGCTTCTTCAATCAGACGYGAYCGAAATGAGAACATGAAAATCCTTCGAACTATCGCCTTAATYGTGGTACTCTTTGCCTTATGCACACTCCCCTATCAGGTGGGTTGGTCTATGCTGCAATTTGGCGACACRATTCTACAAAAGAAGGCCGTTGTAATGCTGAGGGTAACGCGCATGATCCAAAATCTCCACACATGCGTCAACCCAGTTATTTACGCCATTTCTAGGAAGTATTTCCGTCAAGARTACAAGARATATCTCAGGAAACTGTGTTGCATTAAGAGCATGCGCATTAGCCCGTCCAGCAGCGACATCGATGACTTTACACAGCAGCCAAACCACACAATGCATGCGCACACGGACACCATTAACGGATTTACAGTCGAMCGTGAAGASAGTCCGGTGATTCAGCTCTCGCCTATGACAGGACGATATCTTGGTTCTCCCTCCATGATGCATCGCATTACAACTCAAGTTTGATTCAGAGGAGTACAAGCCAATCCATCAATATCATTCAGCTTTGAAATACAAATTACTGAAAATTTTGCATTCGTGAAACCCTGGAAAAGTCTTGGCACGTCAACCAATAAACGAATTTTGCATTGGATTATTGATAAATCAAATGCATGCAAAGAGATCAAAAAAGTCCAAGCATCAAATGCACTTTGACTTTTCTAAGTCTTTTAATGGCATTAATAGCAATTATTAGAATTTTCATCATAATATGCTACATACACATCCAGGAATAAAGTGGACAAGATACAGAATCATAGATAGGTACAACCGGGCTGATTTCCGTTCATTGACAAAAAAAAAAGAAAGAAAAAAAGAAAAAAAAAAGAAAAAAAAAAGAAAAAAAAAAGAAAAAAAGAAACTAAACAGGAAGTGGAAGAATTAGTAATTACAAAACAACATGAGCATTTCCGGCTAATTATTATAAGAATACAAACATAATACAAAACATACCGCTCAATCTAATAACGAAAACATGATAGAGTTACTGCTGAYGGTATTAATAACATCGGTGTTTAGCACGAASGAAAASACCATGTSGTTTAATCGTTGAATTTTTTCCTTCACCCGTCGAGTCTTTAAATAGTCCATTTGCAGAAATTCATTTGCGGTGACCCACTTAATCGCACCAATTACAATTTCCTGCATTTTACCCACTTAACAAAGTAGTTAATAAATKASCCTTAAAAGGTCGTGTTAGCATCGAAATGGWATAACTCCTTCAACGGGTGCTCTTTCCGATAATTCATTTATCTGATATCGATCTTTAATCACATAAACCTGGCGACTATCTTACCCGCTATCTTAACAGTAAATGCTTGTCACACATTCAGACATTATCAATCATATTGTACTCAGTCAAAATTACAGTTTTATCATAGCTTCAATTACATATTAACATTGTACCCTAGAATCTCACAGTCAGCAAGTTTACATAATGAGCACCAATTTTGCATTTTAGTTCCAGACTTTTYATAACTTGAAGTTATAACAATAAAGAGAGCGAAGCCCAGATCAAGTCGTCAATTAAGTTCCCAAGTTTCATTGCGGCCTTTGATATTTGCGGTTATTTGGGGAGCTGGACAACATTTTGGAAATAGTTGTAAGCATTGATATTCTTTACAGTTATGAATTATTGACTCGCGCTTAAAGCTGACTTAAAAGGAAGTTCMTTGCAGTCTGGACAGACTTAGTCAGCTGTGCGCAGCCATTGTGTAAAAGAAAGATCTCGCAATTAACTATGAAAGTCATGTTGTCAATAACGACGTTACGAATAAATACGACATTAAGCAAATTAGTGTTTYTCCTAAACACAACAATTAATAGCGGTCCATAAAGGCAACATTAAACTAAAACACCCTAAGGCTTGTATCGCCGCCGTTTATACTGCTAACAAACACAAACGAGAATTCTATACAACATGATAATAGGCCTTGCCGACGAATCCATCATACCCGGACAGCCAATCAAAACCAGCCGTCAATTTTGTCCCCTTTGTCAAAGTTAGTTAGACRAAAAACAAAGCCAATTCAGTTGATCCCATTTGAACTGCATTCATGATATTTTTGCTTTCATATTCAACTCCTTCTATCTAATCAAATCTTATAGAAATGACAACAATAACAGTAAATTGAACACTAAATCCCAAGAAGCTTCACGCGCATCCGATATTCTTGATTTCAAGACAGCTGTTGTTGAGGGCATAGTTATAAAAAAACTCGCAGCTGCGAGATCCACACTGCTAGGACACAATCGATGAACATCGACGTCAAGTCTTTCCGGGTAGGTAAGTTTTAATTTCTTTTCTCTTGATTTATCTTTTGATCTTCATCCCACGATAAAACTTGAAGGGGAAATGATCTCCGATCGAAACTCAATATTTTAATTGTTCGCTTTTAATTTTTTTCTCTGCGAGTAAATTTAWGTAAACTCCTTGAATACTCAAGTGGAAGTTAAGCAAAATATCTCATATAAAATCTTGATCATTAGGAAGAGAGATTTCAAACTAAGAAAAAAACCCAAGTGAAACGCAAAAAATGGACTCGCCACAATAATAATTTGTGAATATAGCAGTGTTTATACATCAACCACAAACAAACCATGATCAATACGCAGCCCGTAAGTATATTGCCCTAGTTTTTCCTAMAAAGACCTTTATAACTTACATGAAATCTCACCACGGTTGCTCAGTAGAGCTACATGACTCTCGTYGTAGAACCTCTTAACACCACTTTAATGAACTCTACGTTACGTGCTCCAGGCGAAATGGTGGAAAATCCTGGGTCCCAATAACTTAATCGTAGGCTGGCCGTACTCAGTTTGATAATTAAAGATATACATTATCTTGCASTAATTTAGAACGAAGGAGCGACTACCAAAACTTAATTGATGTTAAAGGAAAATTTTTATATTTTCTGCATTTCAAATCATTATCATTTTCAAGTTTTTATTTTGTATTATTGTTTCCGAAAGCTCTTTATCAAAGACAAGCGGTATGGTTTATTTAATCTTGTGATGTATTCATGAWGTCCGGAAAGTAAAGATAGTGTAATTTGTAATAAAATATGAAACTAAATAAATAAAGTGAACGTTGACACTCCTAATTCCTTTGATTGGCTGTCCTAAGTATAATGTGTCTTCTAGATAGAAATATGAAGCATGTCGGTAAAAAACAGGTACTAAGTGCTACATGTTCTATTAAGACGGACCTTTAATGGTATACAACGATTTGAGCACCTCATCTGCCGCGAGCGATTCCGATTGGCCACAGGTGCAATTTTTTTTAATAAATCATCGCGCAGTTTGACGGGTGAAACAGAAAAATACAGCAAAATGGATCACTGTGATGACACTTATATTGTATTAGCCTTTTTGACTCCAGGAAAATCAATATTCCAAGAAWAARAATATCGATTTAGCCGATTATGCAAGTCGATGATACTAGTGGTTTAAGTTATACAAATATTTCATGTCTGGTTACAATAGACTCAACCTCAACATAACCTCCTCTTATCAAAAACAACCTACGAAGGCGCACCATTGACGTGGTGAACAAACTATGCCTATTTGTGAGAAATCAGTATTTTTCGTGTATAACAATAATTAAGTTTTACTCGTTAGACGTCCTGGCACCCAGTATCGAACTACTGTGGTGTAGGAACTACTTATGTAAGTCTCCAGCGGGGCCTGTTCTTCCTTTGAATAATTAARTATATTTTTATATTCATCAAATGTAAATTGAATGCATTCATATTGAATAAACGTGTAATAGGTTTCTTATATTTCATCTAGATAAATCAYGTTCGAAGGAGCAGACCCATCCATCGTCGCGGTGCTGTAGCTTCAGGTTTTTGAGAAAAGGTCATCCACGATGAACAATACGACAAGAGTGCTGTACAGAAACTCCGTAAGGGCTAATCCACTATTGACAGATGAAGTGACCATGTACATCTACGTGGTGACGCTGATACTGGGAACCATTGGCAACTCACTTGTCTTRTTCTCATTGTTGTCAAGAAGAAGACGAAGGCGAATGTCAGCAAATGATATTTTTATTCTCAACCTTACCGTTGCTGATTTGATGGTGCTGTTMATTTTTATCCCATATGCGTTGTACATTCGTTGGGTGCCTTTTCGTTCAACAGAGTTTGTATGCAAGTTTACCGCTCCTCTAATAACAATCGCTCTAGGAGGAATGATCTACACTCTAACTGCAATGGCTGTCCATCGCTGTTTGGTTATAACAAGGCCATTTCGTCAGGAGTGCTCAATCAGATGTGCCGCAGTCGTAGTTGTAGTGATCTGGCTTGCAAGCATAAGCCTATCCATTCCAAAGATAACAGCAACAACGTCGGTAACTCGTCCAGATGGTATRAGGTTGTGTCGCTCGATTTGGAAGCCAATTTCCCGTAAAAGGTCCTACACCGCCTCCTTGTTCGTTCTACGATTCGCTATCCCATTTTGTATCATACTCATATCCTACGTTCGGATAGCAATTGCCCTACTCAAGACACAAGCACCGCGCTTCGCAACAGATAGCAGTGGAAATATCCGTAATGTAACGAATAAACATGAAAACATGGAAGTCATCAAAACATTGTTCACGATAAGTTTTCTTTTCTTCATCTTGTTGCTGCCATTTCGAATTACCAAACTGATGCTAGAATTTGGGTATCAAAATGATGTAACATTGAGAAACATTTATCGTTTAACCGCCACACTCACTATCGCTCATTGCTGTGTCAACCCTATCATTTACGGAGCCTTCATGAGAAAGTTTAGTAATGATTACAAGAGGTTCTTTGTACATTTATTTTGCTGTAAATTTTGTCGGAAAAACAGTTATGAAGAACACGGCGAGAGACTAGAACTTGATGAAGGAGGACTTACGTCCGACAATTGGAGGAAAACACTTTCAACTACTCATGAATAGAAACAGATAAAAGGCTTAAGACGTTTAAGACTAAATTAACTCTTGTTTCATAACTAGTCAAAGAATTTAGAAAGTTAACATTAATATGTGAAATGTTCTGATCATACATAGGTCACCCATGTACTATAGTAGATAGTATAGTAGAGTTTGCATGATAGTTAATTATGAAATCTTCATATTTAGAATATTCGTGGTTTTCAATAAGACAATTTATTCAAAAGAACAAATACAAATAAACAGATTTTACAATTACTCTTAAATGAATAATTGAAAAGTTGTMAAAATATATGTACTTGAATTTATTTACTTCTCACCAAACCAAGATTCGATTGAAACTATGATAAAGGTTAACACTCTATCCAATTTTATCTGGTGATGAAGTTATTTTGATGATCAGGACAAACTGTCAGGACAACAGCTGCTCAGGGGTCGGAAACGAAGAATTATACCAACCTCCATTTTGACAATTAGTGTTTGTCCACAAGAAAAAGAAATTTGAATAAGTAATTACGATATCCAAAATCAATTAAGTTTATGTTTGCCTAAAATCTGTTTGTTGACATTACAAATCTCATCCTTATATGTATTCAACTAATATTTTAAATCATTTGTAAAGAACATAGAGCATTGTTTCCTTGTTTGCTTGCGAAATGCCAATGAAAATCGTTATTGTCCGATGGGTTACACCTGTTATCTGGTGTATATTGGTAACATAATTAATGTGGTTTATTTTCAATTGGCGTCACGAAAGCCTCAAGTTTTTATGTTAAGCTGATTTTCTTTTAGCATTTTAAACTTCAGAAAAAGGAAAGAGGAAGAACGAATGAATGAATGAATGAAAGTAGAGTGAATGGGAGAATAGTGGACGGACGTTTATATAACAAGATATGAAAATCCTAAAAAGCCATAAAATYAAAAAAATGAGAAAAAGAGAAACGAACATGTTGAAGATGTTCATATTTCCTTAAAGTAGATTTATGAAAAAACTATTATTCCTGGTAGAATTAAAAAGAAAAATATAAATGAACAAACAAAAAATAGATAAAGGGACTGAATACAAAATGGCGGACCAATGTTTTGAACTGAATAACTACTCTAATTCATGCAAAAAACCTTTGCATTAAAAACGGTAACCTGATCACTCAATAATATAACATTATCTTTCTATTGTTATTGTCAATTGGTCTGCCATTTTTAGATCCTTTGTGTGGACATCATGAGGGATTCAGTCCTCGAAACGCACCGATGATCAAAAAACCCTTAACCTATACAGCATTCTTGAATAATATTYAACCAATATTAACTAATAAAGAGTACCTAGCAATATCGATGCCACTAGCGGCTAAGACGCAACTAACGATAGAACTCGATGAAGCTTGCGAAATTAGAAGGCAAGAAGTTATCGAGTAGCCATCGAGTAGTTTATATGATTTGACTTSCAACACGGTGTTACTACGCTATAAAGACGTAATTACTGATATCGATGATAAAGCCTGCGATAACGGTACTAGCTGTCATGAATGGCTAACTTTGAAAGTTTCGGATGGCTAAGGATGAGGATGTARCGTGCGATATCGATGCGATCGATTTGATAAGCTGCCTCACGCTTTCTTTTCTCGTYTTTTTCTTTTCTTTTCTTTTCTTTTTTTCATTTCATGAGAAAGAGTTAGCTACCTCACCCACATCAACAAATACTATGCAAAGACTCACTGAATAAGCCTTTTTTCCCGTTTGCCATCAAATATTCTTCATTACTATAAATCGTTTATATTTCGACACGATTAATATAAGAAGCAAACTTTATTTTATCTGGAAACTCGCTCATAAAACGACCCTTCCAGGCTTCTGTCATAACGCGTAATTGCTCATTGTCAACTATAACGTGGAAACCCTTAATAAGCTGCACAGCACCTGGAAATCAACTCCTTACTCAATACTAAAATACCACAGAAGAGGAATATTGAACAAATCGTGTTAAAGGTTCAACAAATCCTGGTGAGAAAGTAAAACGTTAAAAGTGGTTAATTCTAAAAGTTTAAACTTGAAAAAAAGGTGTATTACAGMTAGAGAACTCTAAGCTGTTGTCATTAAAAATTTACCAAAAATAATAACTACGAACAGATGTATTGTCTGTTWTTTTATTATTTCAAAAATGAATATTTTTGTATATAGTAAAAATCCAGAGGTTTTCACAATAAAATTAATGTTTTTACGACTCCAGTGATATCGAAAAGAAAAAGGAAACGCATATTTTTTTTTCTGTTTGCAATAACTAAAGATTGACGCGGATCAGATCAAGACTYTACTATCAATTTTTCAGCTAATTTATGTTAATTCTAGTCTCTRATACAGAATAGTTATTCTGCCAAAAACAAGCGCGTTAGTATTAAAACTAGTGAATTATTAAAAAAGTTTCTAAGTTGAAATTAAAACTTTTGTTTTGAGGAAATTCACACAAACCAAGAGAGGATTGACATTTCACTGTCCTAAGGGAAAATCAGTTCTCGTTCGAAGATGTGGCGGACAACATTGAATTCAGGCTCTACTACTTTTCCTTACTTTTGGCTGTTTATGGGTCTACTTTTATTACATATGCCGAAGGCTGTTAATTCCAGTGACGACGGTCAAGACTTCGACGATACACCGTATGTAATCTACTTAATACTATTTGTAAACTAGCCGCACCCTTTTACATTGTCAAGATCTAGATTCGATTACACACTGCTTCGTCTACGTTTGTATTTGTTTAATTTCCGAGCTTTCGGATCATTTGATCCATCATCAGGGACTAGTGATACAAACTAGTTTACCTAAAAGGTATGAAAGTGCTGCCTGGTAGCTTAATTGCCACCGTGTGATCGGTGTTTGATGTGTTGCATGACTTCACTCTAGTATAGGCGGTTTTGCTGCATTTGTATTACTCTCACATGGAAAATCTTGTCCCGAATGCTATTCTGTTGTGAACCCTTATTGCAAC